TCACCTTTTATATGAAACCAGCTATCTATACATTGACCTGATTGCTGAAGCTGTTTATGGCTGTTATATTTCTAAGAAGGTTGAGGTTTTATTAAGTTTGTGTGCTTTGATAGTATTTATTTATTTTTTACTTTATTGCACACACAGAAAAACTAGTTTATATAATATTTGCGAGATTTTTGCAGAAGTTTCTTGTCAATATTGAAATTCTCATCACACAGCGGACAGGCAGCGTAGGACTATAATAACATACTCTCCCCATGTCCTACAGGTAAATGGGAAATCAAATTCATCATCATGCATCATCACCATTATATCGGCCACAAGACGTCCACTTTTGAATATAAACCTTCCGCAATAGCTGTTAAATGATTTTTTCGAAAAGTCAAAATGTATCACTATAAAACAAAGTCGCTATCCGCTGTCTGTCTGTCCCTATGTATGCTTAGATATTTAGAACTACGCTACGCTACGATAGAATGATTCTTAAGGAAGGTTTATATGTATGATATATGCATATTGCACCCATGCGAGCCGGGGCGGGTCGCTAGTTAAGTAATAATGCTTAGTTCTGATATCATATTACATATTTAATTATCACGTATACATATTCCTCTAAAAGCATCATTACTGGTTCGTTTTACATTTCCATACATAAGGGCATTAAATCAAAATGGTACTATTAAATCATCAGGATAATATGAAATCTAAAAGGGTTCACTTCTGGAACGAAATAAAATTTTCTACCTGAGCAATGCGAAAGGAAATTGAGTTTTCAATTCGAATTACATTTACTGTTTTGCCCTAAAAACACAGGCCCTCATCTAATCCTAATTTGTTGGAGGATTTGGTCCGAGCGCGAAATCGTTTAAGGGCGAGAGATTCTGAGGCCAGCCGGCGACTAAGAGGCTCTTCAAACTTCGCACCGAGTAGGCACACACTCATGCAAAACATACAAATATTATCTGAATATAACCATAATTATGTTTGGCATCTGTTCTTGGAAGCTTATTCAGTATTAGAATTTTATTTCAGTAAAAGAAAATTCCATTCCATTTGATTTTATAACTGAAATAAGTAAATCATATCAATCAACAGTTTAATACAATTCGAATTTCTTAAGAGCAGTCTTACAAAGTAAAGCCATTAGTCTGCGACTTGAAAACCAGATCGCACCCACGCAATATGTACACACCTACTTGAAAAAATCTACTTAACTTCTCAAGAAATATAGACGGTTATGAATGATAAGTAAGAAATTTTTCGTTAAGTTTCTCTTTAAATACATTTACGCAATTCCAGTACACTTTTACAGAACAAACACGGCTGTTGGAATTACTCTAGGTAAGTACCTGCGAGCCTATTGTTTGAACTTGGTGCCGTTTTCGTTGAGCTTAAAAGTTTTCCTGCAGAGGTTTTCTTTCTGTTTGTTATTGTTGTGTGTATAATTCGCTCGACATTTTGTCGGCAATGATGTTTGGAGGTGAAGATTGGGCTGTGCGCGGTGCGTCGTAAACACGCCTCAGGGAAATACCTGCGCCGCCCGCCGGTAGCTGCGTCGTCGCCGGCAGAGCGCGGCGCCCGCCTGAGACCACTTACTGCCGCCTGCTGACTAAGCAGGTGCTCATCGACGTACTTTGCCTTACTTTAACTTTACTTTTTTCTTTTCCGCAATTGTTTCAGGTGTTATCGCTACCTGGCGGAGGCTGGGCCCTTCTAAATAACCTTTTATCTTAACAGACGTCGTTTAGGGACGCGTACTGATTTCGAGAATTGTAGTGTTATCTAAGGGTCTTAAGTCTCACAATTTGGGCAAAGAAATAGGTTCTTTATTTTTATAATCGTTTAACATTATTTATACTTAGAAATTTATTTTAACCTAACTGTTGGCGGCGACTGCGTCCGCGTAGAATATGATTCTTGTTTTGTCCCTTGGAAGCATTTAATTGGGATAAAAAGTATCCTAAGTACCAAATGTCATCAAAATCCGTTGAGTAGTTTCTGCATAATTGACGGATTAACATCCAAACAAAGAAACTTTCACATTTATAATATTAGTGTTATTAATGTCACAACAGTAGCAAGAAGACATCTCTATTTACGTCTGCTAAGTTATGTTACCATAAAATGTACCGATTACGTTCCACCACATCCCTATTTCGATAATTTCGCACGAAATACTTGAATATTGTATGAAACTGTTATATTCGCTGTACCGAAAGCTGTAAATCAATTCGGTTTCATAAAAATATCTGTAGGAGATTTACTAGATATCGGAGCCCGGCCCACCGTGGGAAATATGAAAATTGGAAATACATGCATGGCCCGATACGGCGCGGAATAAATTTCGACCCTATTTGTAAGCGAACCTCAATATCGCAAAGTGTAGTACTTGTACTCTCGAACGCGTTGCTAGTAAACTACAAGGATTCAATTATTTCAATGTCATTTAATGTTACATGCCTGTATGGTAATAATGCCGCTATAAACATTTTTCATATTCATTTAGGACTTTAGACAGTCTTCTTTCATCTCAGTACAAGGTACCTATGCTGCACAAATCACTTGAATTCACGTAGATATTGACAATGATAATTTTCGACGTCAAATCCCTGTCAACAGTTCAACGCATAGGTAAGATAGTACTGATCGAACAAAACTTAGTGTCGGCGTTTTACCGAATTAGGCGACCGGTGTTGAATCTTTAATTCCAATTAATCAATAGAATGTAGGTTTGTGCCACTCGAATTGAAGATAAGCCCCAATCGAAGGGAAGTGTGCGGTGGGTACTCCTAAGTACTGTCCAATAAAAAGGATTAATCAGATCAAAGGTCCGAACAATTTATTTAGCTACAAGTCATTTATCATTGATAACAATAAGCTTAGCATTCGTAAAGATTTTATCAACAGTTCTAAAGAATAATTTTCCTAAGTAAGTACAAAAGGACATTAGTTAAAATTAAGTATAGTAGAGCCTCTGGCCTGCCTAGTTCCATCAGGTGAAGTTTTTAATTATGAATGATAGGTGGACCAAAATCTCCTTGCATTTTCTTTTTGGGAAAAATTTCGTGGTTTCTACGTCTAGCGTTGTAAGTAGGTACAGTAATAGACAACATTTTATCCCCAGTCTGTTAATTCGACATGCGTGGGACGAGACCAGCTGATGCATTAACCTAACCTAGGCTTTTTGCTCTTCCCTGCCTTGTTTCTAGTTAAAATGAAGAATTGTTTTGTTCTATTTTGTGTTGGTTAGATGCACCGTTTGCAAAGAGAATGAACATTGAAACAGTTCGGGCATAAATTAATGTTAAATCTATTTTGCATCGCTTTGTCACACACCTTTCCTTGAACTGACTTAAAATAAAACAGCGTGTATTTGTTTTTCTTTGTATGTTTCACCAACGCAACGCGGAGAATCCAATCAATTTTAACTTATGAATATTTTACATTAATTTAGATGTTAATGTGATCATTGAACACTTTATTATTAATATTTGGATAAATAATGTGTCAGACTGTTTGCTAGGTTTAGAGCGGTCTCCGTAAAACTTTGAAACAGTTGACCATTTTTCGTTTATAAAACAGAGTCAATGAATCAGTGGATATATTGGAAAGGGTTTCTAATAAAATAAAAGGTTGTCGTTGCGGCGTGTGACCCAGTTCGGTCAGAGGGATTACAGAGAGGCGCAATGTTTTGGCCATCACAGTTTAATGTGCTCCCCGAAGTCCCTACTCATCCCAACGGTCGCCAAATAATTAGAATCTATTTTCTGTTTCCTTATTTGGACTTTTGGACTTCCACCTGCTTTATTTTAGACGAAGGTCATGTTATACGTTCCGACTGAACGGTAATGGAAATTTATTTCGTGCTTCAAAATGTTGAATTTTGTAAATGTATTAGTCAAAACGCTGAGTAATCTTGTAAAGGTTAAAAAAGGAGAAGTTTTAAACAGTTTTAGATTATATTTGTATTAGTAGCATTATAGTACAGTAAGTATACACGAAGTAACAAAGCGAATCACACAATATTTGTTATAGGCACTGCTGGATAGTAAAATATTTGAAACATTATAAGGAAAAGGCAAAAGGCGGCAAAGATTGTCGCTTAGTATTCAGCGGGCGAGTCGACCGCGGTTGCTAACTCAGGCCCAGATTGTCGCGTAGGACATTTTTGGACACGTTGACTGTACGGGTTTTGTTTGGTTTCCCTCGTTTGAAGGACAATATTTGCTAGTTAGTTTTGTTACTTTTCCTTCGAAAGGGTAGGCTAAGGGTAGGCCACATACGTCACTCATTAAGTAACTGTTGGAATGGTTTTTTGCGAATTAGTACTCTTATAAAAAATTATTATAAGAAAATCTAAGGTTATCCGCCGCAACTCGTACACATTCAGCCATGATCGGTAATGGTACTTAAGACACTTATTTTAATTATTGTGAAATACTTAACAAACTGCATTGGCTCCTACAGCAGTAGGTACCTACGATACGACGCCATTGTGGTAATCGATGGTACATATCTAACATTTCTATTTCTATCATTTAGGGTAAGTAACCTATGGGTCACTTCTCTACATTGCATTTGTACTTAATAGAAATTACTACTATTTATGTGATAGTTACGAACGTTGTTCTAAATAAGGACTACCGAGTTTTTTTCAATTGTACAGCCGTTGTATTTCCGTTTGAATCCAAGCGGTTATTAATAGATGATGAAATGCGCTCTGCAAAATCAATTTTCTCGATAAAGCACTTCCCCTTCTCTGGTACTGATGGTACATAAACAGGTTTCGAGCCGCATCGCACTGCCCGCTGCCAGAGCACACGTCCTACGTTATGAAATGGGAATTAAATTGTCTGTGAAGAATACAACGGGATTACCATTTATTCCTAACAAGACCTACAACGTTTAAATTCGTGTGCCATGAATCCACTGCGTCATACTACTGTTCATATAATATAGGATCTGCAACCCGAGCGCCAATGTATACTAAAGCATTTGTAAGATCGCTACGATGTGCGCTATTGCGAGCTCGTAGTTCAGAGGCATTCAGGAGTGCAACGGGATAGAGTCTGGCACGCCGCGTACCCACGCCGGCTTGGCATAACGTAAACACACGAAGGATTATAAATGGAAAATCTACTTCAAAATGTTTGCATTTAATATTAACACATAAATAAAATAACAATATTATACAAATTAATCAAAATATTCATAATGATGTAGATGATGGTGAAAGTATGAAGGATTACCGTATTTTTTGCTAATTTGCCTTCTAAAAGGGGCAAGAATGGGATATGCCTGTTTCTCGAACATGTAGTGATATTTATTGCGAGAAAAATAGTTCAAGTTATTTTGATTCGTTAATTTTGGTTCTCGGTTCTGAGATGAGGGTTGTTTTATTAACGGCATACTGTTTAAGAATTGTAAATATTCTGTGCGTGGTGGGGGTGTGTTCACGTAGCTATTAGGAACCACTACTCCTACAAAAGGGCCCTGTCTCATCTGGTGTGTGGCTTGTACTTGATAGTCATGCTCCAAAGGCTTCTGGGTTGGGAATATATACCCTGATGCTACTGGACTTTTGGGTACCGTTTCTGTTTCCAGTTGAATAGGTACATGATGATTGTTATGCTTCGAGTAATCTCTGGATTGTGGAATATTATTTGTATCCATGTCTTGAGACATGGTTTTATTTGATGTGTTTGCTGGATCCGGCGCTTCAACAAATTTCGGTGGGTACAGTGTCTGATACTGTTCAGTAATATATTTTGATTCGACGAAAATATTAGATGGTTGTGGCGTGTGAGTTGGGATCTGATTATCTGGATTATCGCCACCATATAGTCTCCTATAAGAGTCTCTGGTATACTGAGGTATCATGAGCTCATTAAAACTGCCGTTTGACGGTTCTGGCTTTCCGAGAGAGTTCTTAAGTTGACTATAATATTGTGTCTTTTCCATCGGGTTTAACATGCCTATGTTACTAATGAATCTTTGATAAGTCGGGTCATCTCCAGCATACTTGGGTATCACATGCACTTTATGACTAATGTTTGAAGTTTTTGGGGTTTCAAGAGGATTCTTAAGTTGAAAATAATATGGAGTCTTTCCCGCTGGGTTTGCAACGTCTGTATTATCTACATCATAAAATTTTCTATAATCTCCGCCGCCCCTCGTATATTTGGGTATAAGATGAACATTGAGGCTAACGTTTGAAGGTTTCATGCTTCCGCGGGGGTTCTGAAGTTGAAAATAATGTCGTGCTTTTTCCATTGAATTTAAAATGTTCGCATTACCAGCACCAAATGGCTTACTATAATTATCGCTGCTGAGATACCCAGGTAAAAAGTTTACATTGAGACTAACGTTAGAAGTTTTCGGGTGTCCGAGAGAGTTCAGAAGTTGATAATAATAGTGGGCTTTTTCCACAGGGCTTCTAATGTCTGCGCTATCAGCACCAAATAATCTTCTATAGGTATTGTCGCTTTTGAGATACTCTGGTGGGACGTTTACATTCGGACTAAAATTTGAAGATTTCGGCTGTACTAGAGAATTTTTCAGTTGAAGATAATATTGTGTTTTTTCCGCTGGGCTTAAAACGTCTGGGTTATCGACGTCATACAGTCTTCTATAAGCGTGATTGTTTCTAAGATACTCAGGTGGAAGGTTCACTTTTGGACTAAAGTTTGAAGATTTCGGCTGTACTAGAGAATTTTTCAGTTGAAGATAATATTGTGCTTTTTCCACCGGGCTCAAAACGTCTACATTATCGACATCATACAATCTTCTATAAGCCTCATTGCCTCTAAGATACTCAGGTAGAATATTTACATTGAAATTAACGTTTGAAGATTTCGGGTGCCCGAGAGATTTTTTCAATTGTAAATGAACTTGCGCTCTTTCTTGTGAGTTCAAAATACCTGCGTTATTCGCTTCAAGTAACTTTCTGTAATTGTTGTTATCTCTAAGATAATTAGGCAGCAAGTTTACATTGAGACTAAAATTCGAAGGATTTCGATTTAGATTAGGAAGAGACTCCTTTGATTGAAAATAAGGTTGATTTATTTTCGGTAAGTTTAAGATACTTTCATTATTCAGACTATATAGTTTCCCATTAATGGGCCTCTCTTTAACATATTTTGGTAGGAGATTGACATTAAGACTACTGTTTGAAGGTTTTGGGCTAACCAGTGGATCTTTCATTTGTGCATGATCTTGCTGTGCTGCCTTTTCTACAGTATTTAAAAGGTTTTCAAGATCTTGTAAACTTAACGAAGGTACAGTACTGGCGTAAGTTGCAACTTCATTTTCAAGATTTAAAAGGTTTTTTTCATTACTGTGTTTTAAAGTGCGTGACTCATCAAGGTAATTAGTGTTTGGTTTGACATCAGAAATTTGAGGAAGTGGAGATCGTACTGATCTTTCCCAGAGCGATCCAGGAGAATAATAGTTTTCATTGAGAACGGAATGAAAGGGGAGTTGTCGGGGTTGTTCTGTATTGAACGGATGGTCTAATTTAGTGTCAGCGTTACGAATCATAGACGCGATCTGTCTCCCTAAGTTCGTGTAGTAGTCATCGTCAGGGCTTGGTTTATTCAAATTTCTAGTTTGGTCTCCTGGATTTACTACTTCAGGTTCAACACGGGGTAGCACTTGGTCGGGAATATCAAAATTACGGCGTGTTTGCTGTGCTTTAAGATTTTGCAATTGTTTTAAATCATTGGTGTCAAAAGGTATTGTGGGCATTAGCGAAGGTGATATATTTCTAGCAGGTGATGGTGGTTTATTTTTAGGTGCACTATTATTTACTCTATGTATTAATTCTGATAAATATTTAAAATCAACATCTTTTAAATTAGGGATTTGTGATACATGGTTCTGTTTTTTAAGTTTAGGTTTTTTAACGGATGGCAATGTGTCTGATATATTTGGTATATCATCTAGATTCATAACCAAGTCACTTTCATCGTCTGATGTTGGTGTTACTATATTTTTTCTTTTTTCTTTCATTTTGTCACGTAGTTTTTGCATCTGTAAACAATGTGATATTACAATCACGCGTTAAATGATGGAAAACTTATTATATAATGGTATAAGGTATTTTATAATGTATAGTTGTCTCTATGTCTGCACACAATAAAAGATTTTAAATGCTATTTATTCGTTGTTGCAATGGAAATAATTCCTGAATTAACTTAACTAGCAATTATTTCAAAACTAGCTTCTGCCCGCGACTTCGTACGCGCAATCCCGTTCTTTCCCGTTCCCGTTCGTGATTTTTGGAAAAAGTAAAAAAAAAATTCGATGAAAAAGTATCCTATGTCCGTCTCCTGGTTTTAATCTACCTCCCCACCAATTATCATCCAAATCGATGTAGCCGTTCTTGAGTTATAAGTAGTGTAACTAACACAACTTTCTTTTATATATATAGATACTTACGAGCTTATTTCGCTGCGCGTGCTTGAGTTTTGCTTGTTTCCTGAAACATACATTTGTTTTAATTTTTGTTAATTACGTTTATATATCATAGCTATATCATTAAAAATTCCTGTGATTGCTGGTTTAAAATGTAACCACAATAGTCTCCAATACACAAAACACATTGTATTAATGCGTTGCTATAGTTCTAGTGTAGGTAGGTAGTGTCTGTCATTCGCAATTCAAAATTGGACTGTACATATGTGTGATGTAATGTAATTTAAAATTAACATGTACTTTGGACCATGCACTGACTGTATCTTAAAGAAATGGGAAGCTGCGTTGATTTTACCTAGGATTTATTTTCGAAACTGATTATTAAAAGATAATTATTTTTGTACCCGGGTTCGACAGCTCGAGGCATGTATTCTTCATCATCTTCATCTTCATCTGTTGGTATGTTTCTGTGTCTTTCAAGTTTACTGCGTCTGCGGTCATTGCTAGGAGGAGCTTCCTTTGTGTCTGTTGTTGTATTCGTATTCGTTATAGTCGTTTCAGTGGTAGTATTAGTAGTAGTAGTAGTAGTAGTGCTATTTTCCTCATCACATTTTGGAATACCTAGACATAGTTAAAAGGTAATCGTTTACTTACATTAGGAATTTGTTAATGAGTGAAATAAAATAATAATGCAAAAGGTATACCTGGGAAAGGATACATAGGAGGACCCACCGGTGGAACTGGGACCATAGGGTACATTGGCATTGGCGGCGGAGGCGGTAAGCCTATGGGAGGGTAATATGGTGTATCCATATTTGGTAAGAAAATAAATGATGGCAATGGCGGTTTGGGTCTTCTATTAAATATTATAACTTTTTTGTGACCGTGATCTTTGTCTCCTTCAGACCCAGATTCAGATTTCTTTCCATCACTCCCTTCACTTGAACCGTCACTGTTACTATCACTATCGCTGGAACCGGAACTGCCACTTGAATCAGAATCCGATTCAGAATCAAACAAACTGTCATCTTCTGTAATACGTAGGAGTTTTCTACGCAGTCCACGCGCTTTCGAATTATGCTTCCTTTTCTTGCTGCGGCCGAACCTTCGACTTTTTATTCGTTTTGTTGAACCGACCACTGGTCTGCCATCTCCGCCACTTCTACGTGTTGGTGGCTTTTCATTTTTATTCGGTTTTGTATTATTTGAATTACTTATTACTTGATTCTCAATTGTTTTAAAGAACTGGTTGTAAAGCCAGTCGCCGAGTTCGTCAGTGTCCTTGGGAATTTCATTAATTTTATTACGACTAATTGTGGTATATGGATTGGGTACTGTACTTGAGACGATGCTTGGGACATCGTAAATAGGCGTGGGTTCACTGTAGTAATGTCGTCGGATTTCGTGTGTTAATTTTACACTGAAAATGTATAGTTATAAATTTTTGGTATAAGTTACATAATAAATTATAAAAAAAGTCAAAATAATAATATCTCCTTCATTGATAATTTAGAAAAAATGTATAAAGTACTTTGGTTCACATATTTTTGTGTCGGTATCGAAGTAATATCCTGGATGGCAGTGACAGCCGACCACGCAGCCAGGGATGCCATCGATGCAGTACTCGAACCTACCGTGCGGTCCACATTCTGAAAGCAAGTTCAATAAAAGTCTTATGTACCTACTGAATAAATTCTTTGATACAATTTAACATAAGTTTAGATTACTATAAATAAGACGATTGCTCTGAGTTAACCACACAACTGTCAAATAATAAAGTAATGACGTACCATACCGCACTTCTTTGGACATATAAACACCCGAGCATGTCACCAGAAAACACAATAAAACTGAAACACACATTAGAGTAGTGCGAAGTAAACTGTACACATTAGAAAATGTTATTATAAAACAAACAACATTTTGTGATTACTATCGAACCTGTCTGAACACTTGTTTTACTAATTTCTGAAACATACTTTTCACTTTGTTTTTGGCGAAGTAAATTACCTAATTGTTGGATTTACCATTGTTTCTATAGAAGTAGGTCTGAGTTTACACAACACGCTCGTCTATTTCAGAACTAGGATATAAGTTAGAAAATCTAAATCTATGCACTAACAATGGCTGTATACTTTGATGACTTATTGCAATGAACTAAACAATGGCACATTGAAATGATAAACTGGGTTAATGGAGGCGAATACTTAATCATATCAACTTTATGTATCTTTAGATGACGACTTTTTATATTAGGTAGAAGATAGTTTACTTTAAAATTGAATTACTTTCCTGAGAATACTTGCTGCTATCAAAGGTATTGCTATTTTAGTAGCATTCATTTTTATTGCACAATTGCTACCCAGACTACTTAGGCACTAAATGCATACGACTAGAAATCAGTAGAATGACAGTGGAGATATCTCCACTCTTCGACTTATATAATGGGTATAACTATGCTTATTGTCGTGTCAAATATATATTAGATATTTGATCCTCTAATATAAAAAAATATTCTGTTACTAAGTTATTTACAAACGTTTTACATAAAATTCTGGGAAATATTACTTTATCAGTAGCATTATTTTATTGAGCATTATGTATATAATAAGCGCCTTTGAGGTTTTAGAACTCAGAAATCAGGACTTAAATAAAAAAATACGTCCTTTTAAGTATCTAACTGATATGATCTCTAAGTAATGAGAGAAATAAAACATTGCATTTATATCAAAAACAATATATTAAGTATAAATAGGTTTAAGGTGTTACAAATTTACAATCGTATAACAATCGTATATAACATTTTATTATTTCACTTAAATATCGTCGCCTAGATCTGGGATTCCTTTCAGGCCTCTGCAACAGAAATATAATTACGATTACATTATTGACACGTTTTAGCAAACGTAGTAGGTGTTATTCTTAGGATAAAATCAACTGATATCATTTCATAGGAAAATTTTGTAAAACTTTCTCTTTGGAGGCTTAACAAAATACTTTTCTTACGGCGAACAATATTCTACTTTCAAAATTAGTATTTCGTTCAACATAGAATAGGCACGCAGGATTTATAATATATCTAGCGAGGAAGGTCTAGTCTACGCCTTATTTTAAGGATTTGACTAATGTTCAAGGTCATACTTGGTGCATTCTTCGGGTAGTACGCATTTATGTGTCCTGTCATCACGTACGTAGGGGTGTACGCAAATACAGCCAGGCTCACAGAATGGGTAGCAGGGTCGCAGGCGGTCGCGAGGGTTGTCACACGTCACCGATGCGCAGCCCGCGAAGCATGCTTCGTACCTGTCAAAGTTAAAGTCAAGGTCAAATAAAAAAAGATTACATTGGAAGTCAAAAGACTAAATAATTGTATGTAATTGGTCCTTTAGTAAAACTAAATGTTCATCTCAAAGTGTAATTTCTGTTGAACTTACATTAAATTCGAAGAATTAACCTCAGAAATCTGTGATATAATAGGGTAGACGACTAATTTTTATTTTAATGTCCGTCTGATAGATTATTTAAAAACATTAGACACGTATTTTTTATTTTCTCACAGAAACGAATAGTTTCGAAGATATATTGATTTGAAATGTCGCGTGACGTCACTTCTCAGTACATTTTATACTAAGAAATGACGTTTTAACCCCCACTCCTAAACTTTGATTCGTTTTATCTAAGTATTGTTTTATTATACGACAAAATAAAAAAATACGTGTCTAATATTTTTTCATTACCTAACTTACGGACTAATTATATTTTTAATTTTCATACCCTGTCATCATCCCCATTGCCTTATTTTGGTATTTTCCAGCAGTTCTGCTTAAATGCTAGCTTACTTTCTATAATATTTAGGAATAAACTGCTATAAAGCATAAAAGCAGGATTAATGCGGAGGAAATACGAGCCCTGAGGAGTATGTGTGGAGTAAAAGAGAAAAGTTTGGATTCAAAGATGATGTGTATCAAGGATTGAAAAGCGAATGTTACGCTGGTTTGAACATGTAGAAAGGGTGGATGAAAGTTGAGTAGCGAAAGAAGTATACAGAGCGGATATGAATGGGGCCATCGGTAGAGGGCGCCCTAGACGGATATATACTGACCAAATTGGCGATATATTAAAGAAGGGTCAAATGAAAAGTACCCTTATCCGACGAGCATGCATAAAAGATTGATAACTGTTGATGAAGTGAAAGAGGTTTGTAGGAATTGAGTAATTAGCGTTCCATAGTCTCTGTCTACCCTCATGACAGGCGTGAAGTTTGTGTGTATGTAAACTGCTATAAAAATATTTAAATTAAGTACCTTTCGTGCGGTCGCTCGCAGTTCATGGACGTCTGTGGCTTCTTATCCCTCTCAATATCTTTCCTGTCATCCCTGTAAATAAAAGTAAGTAGATTGAAACATCTCTCACAACACACACAAAGCTGGATCTAGTTAGCACTCACAAGTATGACATTGTATGGGTCACTTCTGAACTTTTTAATATTTGCTGTGGATTTATTTTCTCATCTTCGTAATGCCTTTGTCCTGGCCTGTACGGGGATGACACGTCTATATCTCTTTGTCTATCCATGTCTCTTTGTCTATCCATGTCTCTTTGTCTGTCCATATCTCTTTGCCTGTCCATATCCTTTTGTCTATCCATATCTCTTGGCCTGTCCATATCCTTTTGTCTATCCATATCTCTTTGTCTATCCATATCTCTTTGCCTGTCCATATCTCTCTGCCTGTCCATTTCTCTCTGCCTGTCCACATTGTCCCTTGGTCTGTCCATTGCTCCTCCAAACGCCTTTGTTTCTGGCTCATCCATATACCTGTCTCGCTCTCTTGGATCTCTAGTATCATACTCGTGTCTCCTTCTGTCCCAATCCTTGGTTTCTTCTATGGGTTTCATTAAAGCTTTCTTCCTCCAATTTCTTCTTTCGTCTAACAGTGAGTGTCTCTTGTTGGTATCAACTTCTTCATAGTCGTAACCAAGAGCTCTTGTTGCCATTGCTACGATATTATCTGTAACATAAAAACTTATTGCCCATTATCTTTTTTTCAAAAAAATAAAAATGTCACTATTTCGGTACACCTACATAACAACAACGCCAGTAAAAGTAATTTCCGCATATTGTTAAACTTTTTGTGAACGTGTATCAGTTCATGGTTTCAAAATGGCTGCTAGATAAGTATCGCTCCGTTTCACTTTACGTCTTATTCGGAACTAATCGTGGAAACTTTGTCTGACAAAACGAATGATATGACGGGGTGTGATTGCATTCATACCATTATCGATACTTAATAAAAAAAATAGACAGCCAGAAAATATGAATAAAAAAACCTTGTATTATTGTAGTTTTTTTCCAAAATGATAATCGACTTCAATATCAAACAAATGCAGCTTTGTATGGAACGTTTAACAATTGCAGTAAATAAACGATGCAAAAGGATCACGATTGTTCTCTAGAGTGCACTTTAAGTTACCAAGAAGTAAAAGAATGCTACGTGTGACGTAGGATTTTAGTCTACAGGCAATAGATCTAAGTAATTAATAAGGTGCTTGTGCAGCTATAATATATGAGGATGCTAATTAAAGAAAAGCGTGACAATTATTTACAAAATCTTTATTTTAGCTAAGACATTTAACATTACATGGTGTATTTAAGTCATTCGTTTGGCTCCATTTCTGAAGGCATCATTTTGTAGGAGTTTTCTAGGTTGCAGGGCTTTGATGGGTGGTGGTGCTATGACAATATTGAAGTAATTACCCATGCGGGACACTTCGTTGCCGCGCTGTTTAAATGAGTCATCGGCTTTAGGGTTCACATTGGTGCTGACACTGATAGGTGCATTGTTGCTAATAGTGTTTGCTACATCATTTTCTACAAATTCCATTGCTTCTGTATCTGTGCGATCTGAGCGCTTAGAGTGAGCCCGAGCCACTCTATTTTGGTATTTTGGTTTATCTTGTGCCCTCTTTGCTGGTACTGGTATTCCCATTTGCGTCCTGTAATGTCATAACAATGTTAATGTTGTTCGGCAAGTTTAGTTTTATCTTTTAACTGTCGTCTACTTGTGTTAGCTAAACTCTACGTATATCAGTGCTCAGATAAAACTCTGAGGAGTATGACTACGATTAGTACTTAATCCTTAATCTAACAGAATTTTTATGTAATTTACCACTGCTTCTTTGAGTCTGCTTATTACATAGACCTAGAAGATAATAATATTAAAACAACGAACGTATTGAGGCGAAGCTGTTATCATGTGCATATGAAGTTTCAAATTTCACACAGAATATGAAACTTCAGAGAAATTATGTTTATAGCAGATAATTACCCATTCTCTCAAATAAAGACTGAGCTAAAGGGGAGATCAGTATTCAGCAATGGACATCTGATGATGATGATGATGATGATGATGATAAAGTCAAATAACTTCTCAGATAGATAATCGATACAAAAACCTCAAATGTTAGTATATATTTTCCAAACTTGTTACAATTCGTGTCGTCTTCAGTAAGTAAGCCAGTCTTGCTAAGATGTGTCAATTAGTTGAAAAGATTCTAAGAAGGCTACTAATATTTATACTGGCGCTAACGTGTTAGGCTTTCTTTACGAGTGTATTTTCATAGCTGTCCATTAACTGGCTTTCACTGTAGTCTTGAAAATACGTGCTATATGTGCCTAAGTTTTATTTATTTCTCTTTTATACACTCATAGTGTGATTTGATTTATACTGAATGATTTGAACTTAAAAATAATGAGTGAAATGTTCTTCTTCTGTTAATTTTGCACCAAATGAAAGTTTTGTATAGACATTAGATACTTGTACTGCAGATAGGTACATGTGTGTGTAGATTATCTAGTCTACTATTGCGTTAATTCAATATTATGAATGAATGGAAATTGTAATAAGAATACACAATCAACTTTTCTTAATGTGGGACAAATTGACAAATGATCTTATTCTAATTATATTACAAAGAGATCTTTTGTATATTGTTTGATGAAATCACTTCATTTGTTGTCTATTTCACTGTAATGCAGGTGAAAATGATGACAAAGAATGTAATTTTATGATGTCTACGAAACTTGAAAGACCCCTACCTGATTAAATGCGCCCGGTACTTGTCCTCATGTTATTTTACAATATATTTATGAATATACGGCACATCAAGAAGTGTAATTGTAAAGTTAGAAGACCCAATCCTCAAAACCACTATAATTACTCCTCAAGTCCATGGATAGCGTTTTTTGCTTACCATCAGGTGAAACGTTTGCTCGATATTCTAGAAAAATAAAATTTTATTAACACATATACCCACGGTGAACAATCCTGAGGCAGCACACACTGGTGGGTCCGGTCATCACGGACATATGGCTCTTCACACACACATCCAGGCTCGCAGTAGGGGTAGCACGGACGCAGGTGGTTGCGAGGGTTGTCGCACGACACCTCAGCACACCCACCAAAACACGGCTCATACGCCTCATTTGGCCAATAGCATGCTAGAAACATAATATTCCACCAATATTAATTTATTTTCACTGTTTTTAAAATCAAATCTAGAGGTAGTGGCTACTGATACTGGCTGCTTCAAAACCAAGGATACGAGCTTATTTATAAAAATGTTACAGTTTTTCATAAATTTATCTATTATTATATAGAGGTAGGTATCTATTATTATTCCTAAATGTATAAGAATGTGCCTCTTTATCTCTGCATCTTTTAAAATATTATTTATAATTTGTGATTTTTTTCTCTAATTACTAGAGAGAGACAGACAGCTTAACATAAAAAGGTAGACTATAGTGCTAAATCCGCCTCTGTACAATTTCTGTACACAAAATTTTAAACAAAAAATCAACTAAGCCATTAAAATGTAAGTAAAGAAGCTACTTAGCTTTAAGTACAATCACTTTTAATTAGTTACTACTACAATACATGTAATAAAGAACAATCTTATTGTCTCAAAACGTAAATGAAAAAATATTTACAAAAGGCGAAAAGGTCAATTCTCTTTAGCCACTTTCACAGGTAATAAGTTATTGATGAGGAGTAAACTTTGTTTAAAAGCTTTTAGGAGATACCGAACTAACATCTTAGGTCCCTTAGGATATTTTCAAAATACATTTTCCTTTTAAATAGTGCGCAATTTCTCACATCGGCACATTATTGGGTATCTAAGGGCACTAAATCTAGTTGCGGACTAGACTTTTCCTTTTGTAGTCGTTTCCACAGGTCCATTACTGCTCCCAGGGGCGCTACTTGATATCCTTCGACTTACACTAGTCGCTCTAAACTTAGACGGTGTACTTACTACAGATAAAATCCTATGTGGGAGACTAAAGCTCTACTTACATACATAATATACTATGCATGTAACTTAAACTCGTTCTAGTGCATATAAAAAAGCAACGAAAGTACCTTTCATAATTTTATCTTCATCTCTACACGATCCGTATTGAAACCAACTCGTAAGAATCACTAAACAAACCAAATTATACATTTCTCAAAAAATGCCTCGACACAACTGCTCTTTGCGATTATCCGTTTATGACTATCGGCGATTGTTTTCGAAAGGGTTTTTTTTCCATTGTTTGTATTGAATTGCGTTTGAAGGTTGATTTTGATGATCCTAGTTATTGTTAATACGTCAGAGGGACTGCAGTGGAGGGCTGAGAGGTCGTCATACTGTATGATAAGGGTTATGTTTGGTAAACACAGGGAAAGACCGGCTAAGCCGCGTCTGATTGAATTATTGCTTGCGTTGTAATTTCTATGCGGAACGTCACGTACGGCTGATATTACTCATACAAGTTGTTTTAGTTCTATAATGGTGTGATTAAAAATATCACGTCTTTTGTTTCTGTGGGAAAAGGTTTATCTATCCTTGTTATGTTTGTGATAAAGAAAAAAAACTAATTTAGATACACTTAGTTTCTTTTTAATTACTTATAAAGTTTATTTTGCCCCAGAAAGAATACAAAAGTCTGTATTATTAAGGTTAACCTAGAACACTATCGCTCCAAATATACATGCTTATATTATTATTCCATTGAGCAGTAATATAATTCCATCCATATTTAATCAACTTACAAATACATTAATTACTGTTACTCCCAGAAACATTCATTTATACAGGAATGAACGGAAAATCGAACGTATAATTGCTTATAGATTTGTGTTCAAAGCGGTATTTGATTAATACAGAAGGAGCTTGGAGGTCGTATCTATAATAATACTTATAACACAACATCACACCTTTTATCCCCGAAGGGGTAGGCAGAGGTATACATTATGCCACTGTACAATGTAACACCCACTTTTCACCATTTATGTTATGAGTCCCATGTATTAGGGGGCGAGCCTATTGCCATATACCGGGCACAATTCCAGGCTCCGTACTACTACTGAGAATTTAAAAAAAACCCAGTAATACTTTGCCCGACCCGGGAATCGAACCCGAGACCACTCGGCCAACGAGGCAGTCTTGTAATAATACTTATATATATGAAATAAATTATTTCAACTTGACTATACTAGCTTCTGCCAGAGTCTTCTTGGGATAAAAAGTAGTTTATGTGTTATTCCAAACCTTAACTACCCCAGTTCCAAATTAATCCCGATCCTTTCAGCCGTTTTGACGTAAAGGAGTAACAAACAAACGAACAAACAAACGAACAAACAAACACAAAACAAAACACAAAACTTTCGCATTTATAATATTAGAAGGAAGAAGGATAGTAGGATTGGGAAGGAGAGTTCGTTTTAAACTACGGAATTAGAGTTAATTGTTTTATTCTATTTGTTGTATATTTGAGTTAGTACTCTGATTTATAACACACAGTTACTTTCAATTGCTACCACAAAGTTTGACAAAGTTGGGTTTTTCAGGAATCTGTTTTATGTTGTACAAAAAGTTTCTGTCGTGTCCGTCTGTCGTGTCAGTCGGGTCTGTCATGTCGGTCGTGTCTGTCGTGTCAGGTCGTGTCTGTCGTGCCGGTCATGTCAGCCGTATCTGACGTGTCTTTGTGTCTGTCGTGCCGGTCGTGTCGGTCGTACCGGTTGTGTGTTTTACCTGTACAGTGTCGGCGTTTTAAGTTGATATGAATGTCCTCTTTAAC